GCGCTAACACCTCAGCTCAGCTCAGCTCAGCCCAGCCCAGACCAGCGCGCTAACACCTCAGCTCAGCCCAAATTGCTAGGGAAAGTCAGGAGGTCTGGCCACATCCATGGGGAAAAACGCATAGTTAACATTTCCAGTCTGAGCACACGTTATCAGAATTTAATAGCGGAAAAGTGCCGATAACCAGATATTTATGCCGAAGTCAACGTGGGGGTAGGAGGAAGAGGTCAGCAGATAGGTGAAGACCAATCTCAGAGAGAGAGAGATATGAAAGGGTCAGGTAAACAAGGAGATAATGGATAGCAGGCCAGTACAAAAGAAAAGCTGTATATATGATAGTGAAGAGTGCGATAATGGAGATAGCAAGAACTGTAGATGCTGGAGTCAGAGATAACACGGTGTGGAGCTGGAAGAACACTGCAGGCCAGGCAGCAACAGAGGAGCAGGAAAGTTGACATTTCGGTCAGGACCCTTCAGAAATGGGGAAGGGAGCTGGGAAATAAATAGAGGGAGGAGGGAAGGGGAAAGGGAAAGGTAGATGGGATAGTAATAACTGAGTGCAGGTAGAGAGTGGTGGGGATTGGTCAGTGGGATGGGATGGGATGGGATGGGAGGAGTGGATAGGTGGGGAAGAGTTGGACAAGTTGTGTTAGGTCAAGGAGGCTGGGATAAGAGGGAGGGTTGGATGTGGGGAGATTTTAAAACTGGTGAATTCCATATTTAGGCCATTGGACTGTAGGCTCCCAAGGCAGAATATGAGGTGCTGCTCTTCCAGTTTGTGTGTGGTGTCATTGTGGTACTGGACAAAGCCCAGGACATGTCACCCAGGGAATGGGAGGGGGACTTAAAATGGTCAGCAACCAGAAGGTGTCGATTATTGCGTACAGAACGCAGATGCTCAATGAAACAGTCCCGAAGTCTGCGCTTGATCTCACAGATATAGAGGAGGCCACATCAGGAGCAACGGATACAGTAGACCAGGTTGGAGGATGTACAGGTGAACCCGAATTGGATATGAAAGGTTAACTTTGGGCCTTGAACAGAGATGAGGGGGGGAGGTGTGGAGGGAGGTGTAGCACTTCCTGTGGTTGCAGGGAAAGGTGCCGGGTGTGTGGAGCGAATGAGGAAGTCATGGAGTGAGCAGTCCCTACGATAGGAGTGGGGAGCGAAATATCTCTTTGGTCATCGGGTTGGATTGTAGTTGGCGGAAGTGGCGGAGATTGATGCGCTGGGTGTGGAGGTTGGTGGGGTTGTACGTGAGGACTCGCGGGATTCCGTCTTTATTTTCCTTGGGGGGGGTGAGGGCAGAAGTGTGGGAAATGCAAGAAATGTGGTTGAGGGCATTTTTGATCACTGGAGGGGGAAGTTGCGGACCTTGAAATAGGAGGACATCTGGGATGTCTGGGAGTGGAACGCTCCATCTTGGGAGCAGATCGGGTGGAGGCGGAGGAATTGGGGGTAAGGGATCACATTCTTGCAGGAGGGTGGGTGATGAGGTGTAGTCCAGGTAGCTATGGGAGTCAGTGGGTTTGAAATAGATGTCAGAGGAAGAGATATGAAAGGGTAGGTAAATAAGGAGGTTATGGATAGCAGGCTGAATGCAACAAATGTAATGTGATAATGGGCATAGGAGTACCTGGTAATGGGTGACTGTGCTAAAAGCAACCGATGTCATAACAAGACCAGGTGTGGGGTGGATAAAAAATATGGAAGGCTGGAATCGGACTCTAAAGTTCTAAAAGCTCCAGTGTCCCCAAGCATAAAAGGTTGCTCTTTGAGCTTGCACCGAGACTCAGTGGAACACTTCAGTATACCTGCAACAGAAATGCTGGTGTGGAAACAAAGTGATGTGTTGCAGTGGCAGGAAACTGGAAGTTCATGGTCATTTTTGGGACAGACATTTTGCAGTCTGCACAGCTAACCCATTTTCTCTTTCTGACCTCTTCATTATCACTTATTCAGCTTGACTTCTGACCTGGCCTGCTATCTCTAACCTCCCTGTTGCATACCCCTTTCATATCCCTCCCTCTATGGGCTCCATCTCCACCTATCCGCTCAGCTTCCATCACCCACTTTGGGTTCAACATGAATACCATTTTTTTCTTTGCTACTAACAGTTCTGATGAAGTGTCACTGGACTCGACACATCAACTTTGCTTTCTTCCCACAGATGCTTCCGGACCTGCTGCGTTTCTCCAGCAATCTGTGTTTACATTTCAGATCTCCAGCTGTTCTTTGTTTTATCCTTATCTTTTCAGCCTTATCTTTTCCATTGATGTGCTGGGTTCTTCCATCATTGAGGATGGGGATATTTGAGGAGCCTCCTCCTCCAGTGAGTTGTTTAATCATCCACCATTCAAGACTGGATGTGGCAGGACTGCAAAGCTTAGATCTGATCTGATGGTTGTGGGATCCTTAGGTCTGTCTATCACTTGCTGCTTATGTTGTTTGGCATGTAAGTCATCCTGTTTGGTGGCTTCACCAGATTGACACCTTACCTTCAGATATGCCTGATGCTGTTCCTGGCTTGTCCTCCTGAACTCTCCATTGAACCAGGGTTGATCCCCTGGCTTGATTGTAATGGTTGAGTGGGGCATATGCCAGGCCATGAGGTTACAGATTGTGCTGGAGTCCAATTCTGCTGCTGTTGATGGCACCTCATAGACGCCCAGTCATGAGTTGCTAGATCTGTGCGAAGTCTGTCCCATTTAGCACAGTGATAGTGCCACACAACATGATGGAGGTCATTCTCAATGTCAAGGCAGGACGTCATCTCCACAAGCTTTTTTTCTGATGAAGGGTCTAGGCCCAAAACGTCAGCCTCTCTGCTCCTATGATGCTGCTTGGCCTGCTGTGTTCATCCAGCCCTGCACCTTGTTGTCTCGGATTCTCCAGCATCTGCAGTTCCTACTATCTCTGATTCAATTTTAACCCCACTGCGAAGCCTCTTCTAAGGATGCCTAACCTGAAGAAGTTACCCTCCTCCCTCCGGACAAACCTCAAGGGATCTCTCTCCCACTGCAACTCTCTCGTAATCTCTTCGGCCCTGAAACTGCTCGACCACGTCCTGAAGCAAACCAGGTACTACAGCCACATCACCTTCCTTAGCACCTGCCTACGGAACCAGATCATCCCCAATGGACTACAATCCACATTCAAGCCTTCCCAATTTGGCCACAACCGTGATAATATCTACACTCATGGTATTGAGATCCTTCAGAAGCGTTTCTCCCTGCGACTCCTGAAACACACACTTGCAGCAATGCGCCGGCATCTCCAGGCAAAGCTTTTCTGATGAAGGGTCTAGGCCCGAAACGTCAGCCTCTCTGCTCCTATGATGCTGCTTGGCCTGCTGTGTT